ACCTCACGGATCGCAATGACATGACAGTGAGCTTGGAAAGGCGGGAAAACGAAAGAAATAAGGCTGGTCACCCGGTTGAGGTCGGGCCATTTGATGTGCCTCACATCCCCGCTGACCCTGATCGTATCTCGAACTTCTTCTTCCGTCCGTTGCAAGATAGAACGGACAAATTTTTCGAAAGATTTAGGGAACCTGTCATCATCGTACAATCTCTTCACGTCGTCGATGGACTCCTTCTCGTGCGGAAGAGTACGTTTGCAAGTGTTCACGTACTCCACCGCGCCCTGGAAATGCTTTCACATTTCGACCCACACCTGTTTCGTGAGGCCCTGCGGCCCGAACTCCTCAAGCAGCTTCCCCTCGGTCCGAAAAAATGGGCCCCCGTGGCGCCAAACACGTTCGTTTTCCTCCGTTTCAAGGAACAAGATGTAGTGGAACATACGGAGCATCACACGGTCCACTTTCGTCGTCGCGACCATTTCTCTAATTCCTGGTTTATGCTGACGCTTCAGATGGCCGCCCGCGGATTGCTCGAACACTCCCCTTAGTGCGAGAATGTCATCGAGGATCGACAGTTTCTCGACATCAGTCATGTCGGCGAGAGACTGCCAACAGAACATGTCTGGCTCCTTCACGACCACGAAAAACTTGTCGTCCGCTTGCGTTTTCTTTTTGGTCGGAGGCGGCGGGACCTGAACCAGCCACCCCATCTTCGTTTCACCTGCCGCCCCTTTCGTGCCAATTTCAGGAATTGCTTGCAGACCCGAAGATTTGTCAGGCATGTATTTACCCGACCTCGACAATGGCGTTTTGCTGTCGCCGCCCAACAACTTCCCCTCCGCCCATTTCGTGTAGAACTCCATGGCTTTGCGAAAAACGTCATCACCGGCCGTCACGACCGGCATCCACTCCCTCAATGCATTGCCAGCGGCAATGACATAGTCCTTGTCGGCGAGCGACAAATCGTTTTTTGCCAACGTCCAGTGAACTTCGTTCGGACTCTTTCCCAAAAGCAGTTTCTGGAATTCGAAAAACTTTCGTTTTTCGGGCTCCTTCCCGGAAGGGTTCCCTTGAATGGCCATCGGTCTTCCTTCTTTCTCCCATGCCTCCGACATGTCCAAGAACGCGGCCTTCTGCGACAGCTGCTTAGACATCTTGTGTCTCGTGTTCTCGTTGAGACTGACCTGCCTATACCCCGTGAAATCTCGGTCGGCGAACCACACTACTCTCGTCGCCCAGGAGTGCATCTTCCACAAATCGAATATTGGCTCACACTCCAACTCCTTCACAGTAGCCACGGTGTGTTGTTCGTTAACAGGGTAATTGTAGTACTTGTCCTTGTCCTCCGACTTGAAGTCATCTTTGTGAACCCTGTTAGCTATCTCCGGCCCACGCGTCATCGGCTTGTAGATGGGTGCAAGAACCAAAGGGTTTTTCGTCCAGATCTTCCCCCTTTTCTCACGGTATTGACTCAGCATCGCTGCCTTGAGGTCGTCCACAGTTTCCCGATTTAGACTGCGGTGGTTGTAATATTTTTCCCAAGACGGGATGTCGCAGACCTTCCTGGGGTCGATGAGCAGTTGGACGGGGAGCTCCTTCTCCACGATCTCACCGCCATTGTTCCGCTCGTATTCGAGCCAGAACGCTGGTGCTTCGTCGCACTCCTCACCGACAGGCCATTCGCCCCCGCTCGCCACCTCAGCAGTCTTCCGCCTTCGAGGTTTCTTCTGGCCATCGCCTTCTTCTGCTGCCACTTTCCGTTTCGATTTCCCCGAAGGTTCTCTCGCGGCCGCAGCGCCTGGATCAGCCGAATCTCCTCCACCCACGGCTTGTCCTTCGCGGATGGTCAAACCGCCGGACCTCCTCGCTTTCTTACTTGTCGTCCCACCGTCTTCCTTCGTCGACCTTTTTCCCGAGGCACGTTCTCCGTCGTCACCTCCATCCCCGCCCATCACCCCCTCCGATTTTCCTCTCATTCTCTTCATGCGGAGGGTTCTTTCTGCCACCTCCTCTCGCACCATCCTCTGTCGCTCGCTCTTCTTCTCCGAAGGAGTCTGCTCCCCGCCAGAGCTTTCGCGGACAGCGCTCATCCCTTCAACCTTATTCCCTCCGACATCTAGCCCCGATCTGCTTGAATCTCTTGTCGTCTCATCTCGAAGCGAATACGTGTCGCCGCCGCAGCGGACCTTGATAATTTTCGGAGTACCGACCCGTTGAGTCCCTGTACCCTGAGAATGCAAGTCCGACGTGTTCCCAAGAGCATCCGGGCCGACCTGCGTGTGAACGCTGCGTCCCTTGACCCGACCCCCGGCGTCTTGAATCGGACTCCAGCGCCCCACTGCCGTACCTGGAGTTTATTGAGCCAAGCCGGACGACCCCTCACGGGGTGGCAGAAGCCGGAAAACATGCTCTGGCAGATGAACCGGACGTTCTTTCGGCACCATCAGCGCAAGATCGAGATATTGCTCTGGCGATGGAAGATGCTTGCTGCCGTCATTGTAAAGGCCTTTGAAGTGAGAGCACAATGGCATGTTCGAGCCGTACCCCGCAAAACGCTTGATGGTCACTATCACACCTGTAACACCTCTAATAGGCAGTCTGCACTCGTTGTACAAGCCGTTAGTGTGCAGCTTGAGCAAACCTCCAGGAGTCTTCGCGCACGAGACGACGGTACCGAGAGGAACAACGTTGACCGCTCCCCGAGCGTCTGTAACGCAAGTGGCTCGCATGAAAACAGCTGGCCCAAAAAGGTCCCCCTAAACAACGAAGTCCAAAAACCATTGTGCTCCCTTTGCGTGCATATACGGAGGAGTAGGTTGCTGTACAGGTCGTCCCTCCCCGGGGGCAAATGGTCCAACGCTTGTGGATGTGTTCTTTGCGGACGCCATTGTATTCCCACCCGTTGACTAGCACGCCCAACCTTAGACCAACTCGGATGACTAATACGCCCAACCCCAGACCACTACAGAAGCGAAGTGCGAACTAACTCGGACTTAACGAAATGGAGGACGAAAAGGACGTAAGAGATGGGTGTTCGAAATGCACACGAAGTCACAACAATCAGGTGAAGGATAGGAAAGACAGAAGTTAGGAGGGAAGGCGATAACTGTTCGGAAAGATTGCGACCCAACTAGATGCCCTCGAAACGAGTAAGATGTGGTTTATCGACAAGTGCGAAGGGTGTCGACAAGTGCGAACGAACTCGCAGTTCTGTAGACAAGACAACAATGGCAACTCGTTGCACTAGGGGAAAGTGCGAACTAACTCGAAATTGTGGAACTAAAGACCTAAAAGACGCACGAAACGAGTAAGATGTGGTTTATCGACAAGTGCGAATCGACAAGTGAGAACTAACTCACAGTTCTGCTGACAGGACGACAATTGCAACCCGAAGTACAACGGCAAAGTAGGAACTGACTCCGAATTGTGGAACTGAAGTCCTGGTTTATCGACAATTGCGAAGGGTTTCGACAAGTGCGAACTGACTCGCAGTTCTGTAGACAAGACAATGATAGCAATGCGCAGCACTAGGGGAAAGTACAAACTAACTCGGAATTGTGGAACTGAAGACCTAAAAGCCGCATGGGTTGGGTTGTCAACTCTCCAGCAGTGTTGCTAAAAAAGTGCGAACTAACTCGCATTTGTGAAAATAAAGAACTGCCTTTAATGAAATATGTGTCTAACCTCGGAAAAACTGCGAATAACCTCGCAGTTGTCACTCCTCGAGCACTGTACGTCGCAAACTGCGAACTGACTCGCAATATCTCTCTCTCTATATATGTATCTATATATATATATATATATATATATATATATATATATATCAGGTCGGCGACCTCACAAGGGACAGGTGAGCGAAAATCGAGAATTGATTCGGTGTTCAGTGTTGAAACTAGGTATTGATTCGGGGTTCGCCATCCGCAGCGACGACTGCAAGTTGCGAAGGGAATCGAACAACTTTATACGAACGTTATCGTGGCTATGGCGAAAGGTAATCGAGCTGCGGAACGCGGATCGGCTATGGCAGACGGAGGTGGAGGGTGGAGAAAAGAGATCAGAGCACGTCCACTAGCGAAACAACAAAACCGGGAATGGATTCAGGGTTCAACAGAACGCAGCTGCGGCGTTATATCCTGTAGGTACAGATAGGGCATCTGGAAATGTGTTCGGACGTCGGACACAGAATAGGACAACTCAAGTTATATGATCTTACCTTCGTCGTGCGTTAAGCGAACAACCAACCACCAAACCAGCTATGGTGGAGGGATATCGAGATAGGAAGAGCGAAGACCGAGGAGCGAAGAGCGAACCGAACACAATGTGGCAACTGCGGGCGGAGCGAAAAGCGAAGAGTGAGCGGGCTATGGCGGAAGGTGGGGGGGGCTGAAGACCAAATATCAAAACGTGCGCGGAAGCGATAGCGCGACTTGATCTGTGGAGCGCCAACAAAAGGGATAACTCGAGGGCTGCAACGCCTTTTATACTTTGTTGCAGCAGGCCTCGTGTCGGGATCAAGGTGGGGCCGAATCGATTCGCATATCGCACCCCTGGGCCCATAAAACACCATCGAGGTGGGGCCGAATCGATTCGCGTATCGCACCCCTGGGCCCATAAAACGCCAGGGCCTATAAACGGTAAGGGGTACCAGAAATTGTGAGCCGTCGATCAACAATTTTTAACCGCGCGGATGAACGGAGCCACTGTTATGCCAGTGGCCCCAAAATCTCCGTCTACTCCGGCGTGCAATGATGTAACAGTTCCCGAAAACAAGGGGAAGGCAATGTCATTTTCGCAGTTGTAATCTGGATAGTCAATCGGCATGATTCGACGCACGAGGTCAGGCACAAGAATCTATAAGGTGCGGCGATTCGTTGTGCGCCGAGGTGGTTTATTGCGCACCGAGGCCAGGCGACGGTTTATTTCCCGCCGAGGCGCGGCGATTCGTTGTGCGCCGAGGTAAAAAACACCGGAAATCTATAAGTTCCGGTGTCACTATCATTCGGACATTTTGCAAATGTCAACGGCATTCGATATCGATGCGCTTAGCCATGCACCATCGTTATCGATGCGCTTAGGTCATCGACATCGCCAACGCTCGCCATGCACCATCGCCATCGATGCACTTAGCTCATCGCCATCGCGACGCAAAGCTATATCCCCCATCGCAGCCGTCGTGCTCTCCTGACCATCGCAGCGCTGACAATCGCCATCGCTCTCATCGCAGCGCTGGCCATCGCTGCGCCATCGTAACGCTGGTACCATAGCTGCCATCGCAACGTTGGTTCCATCGTTGCGCCATCTCTCAATCGGTGCGCCATCGCTATTGCTGCCATCGCTATCGCTAACGCTGCCTTTGCTATCGTTGTTCCATCGCTGCGCCATCGCTATCGCTGTTCCATTGCTGCGCCATAGCTCTCCACCGGTGCGCCATCGCTGCGCAATCGCTATTGTTGTTCCATCGCTGCCATCGCTATTGCGATCGCTGCATTGTAACGCGTTCCATCGCTGCGTCATCGCTCTCCACCGGTGCGCCACCGCTCTCCACCGTCGCGCTGGCCATCTCTATCGAAGCCCTGACCAGTGTTATCCCACCGCAGCGCTGCGTGATTTCTCTCTCCATCGCCGCACGATCTCCCTCCATCGCTGAGTGATCACTCTCCATCTCACTCCATCACTGCGCGATCTCTCTCGACAACCGGGTAACCTCCATCCTTGCCCCAGAGGCTCTCCATTACTCGTGCGCGATCCCGCCATCGCCATTGTATTGTTGTTTCAGACCGTCGTCGGTGCAGCCGCTCATCACTGGGGAATCGCACGAAACAGGTGACGGGTATGCTTAACGAAGGTTTAACTCGATGGAACTGATGTTGTGCAATAACAAATCTTGGTCATCGCTATGCCTTCTCACTCGATCGCTGCGGCATCGCTAACCATTGTTGCGCGTCCTCTGTCCATCTCTTTCCACCAATGCGCGATCTCTACCGACCTTTCGTCATCTATCCCCATCGTTGCGGTGTCTTTCTTAATCTATCTCCTTCGTCATCCATCTCCTTCGGTGCGCTATCTTTCCTAATCTATCTCCTTCATCATCTAACTCCATCGCTGCGCTATCTTTCCTAATCTATCTCCATCGTCATCTATCTGCTTCGGTGCGCCATCTTTCTCCATTGCTGTGCTATCGCTAACCATCGTTGTGCCTGCTATCTTCATTGCTTTGCCATGTTTCTCCATCGGTGCGCAATCTTTCTCTCTCGTTGCGGCACACCTCCCAATCAGTTCGCGATCTCTTCCCCTTCCTGCGCCAACCTTCTTCTTCCATGGAATATACAACGCACTTTCATTATAGTTGTCTTTAGACTGACAGATGACCCGAATTCAGTTGTAATGACCGGACGTTGTATTCGGAGGAAGACTGTGACTCCATCCATCTCTCTTGGTGCACCATCTCTCTCATTCGGTGCGCCATCTCTGTCCATGTATTTTCATCGATGCATCGTTTGCCCATCGCTTCGCAATCTTTCTCCATCTTAAAAAATAGCACGCCATCTTTCTCTATTTCTTTCTTGCGACAATATGTGGCTCGTACTACACGCAGAACAAGCCGGAAACAACTTGCACTTGTACCCGCAGTTTCATAATGGAAATGCTCGTTTACAAGTGCAAATTCATTCGCTCTTGAACCAACCAACCCCTTAAGTTGTCACTGTTTAGTCCATAGGTCAGAATTAACTCGCACTTGTACCCCCAGTTTCGTAATGAAAATGCCCGTTTGCAAGTGCGAATTTATTCGCTCTTCAATCAACCATCCCCCTAAATTTCTTACTCCATAGTCCAAAAGTCCCAGTTTCATAGTGGAAATGTTCGTCTGCAAGTGCGAATTTATTCGCTCTTCAACCAAACATCCCCCCAAATTTGTGACTCTTTAGTCCATAAGCCCCAGTTTCATAATGGAAATGCTCGTTTGCAAGTGCAAATTTATTCGCTCTTCAACCATTCATCCCCTTAAATTTGTTCCTCTTTAGTCGATAATTCGCGTCTCTTCTCGGCCCAAAAGAATGAAGTCATTTTGTATTTGCGAGTTAACTCGCCACTAAACCAACCACGAAGGCAATTTCTTATTGCACGGCGTAATCGAAATGTTCCTCCGAAGTGTGAATTTTTTGGCATTTGAAATTTCTCGCTGTTTAGTGGATAATACCGAATCGACTCGCACTTGTGTTCGCTCTTGTTCCGACCATGAACTTAATTTCTTACTGTACGTTGAATAAGTCCGAATCAGCTTGCATTTCTACTCTCGCCTGAAAAAGTGCGAGTTCACTCGGACATATCCAAACCACTTGCACACTGAACGAGTGGGTGAGAAGTCGGACTTGAGATACCACTTGAGCCTCACATCAGGGTCCGACAAAACGATATGGATTCAAATGTTGTTGTTCCACTGTTTTGTGATAAGTATTTGAAATGTGAGTTTGCTCCCTCTTGTTTATTTCCTTGACCTCATCATACGTTGACGCGATTTTCTTGTTGTACAGTTTCTGTGTGAATCGTCTCTTCAAATCGTTGTCCAATCCGTCCACTGTATTTCGCCACCGCCACCGTCACGACAACACGGAGAAGACGATGTTCGAGAACGTAGTTCTTGTGACAGCAGCCCGGAAGCTCCCTCTGATCAGCATTGCGGTTTGAAAAGGGAGTTCTCAATGTTGACCCCGACGAATCATTCAGGCCTTCTTCGACCTCCGCCCGGCGTCGTTTTGTTCGCTTTGCCGACGTTCCCAACGGTCAGCGCGTATCTACAACGCTAATCCCTGGTCTGTGTATCTTTTTAACGGAGAACGCGAAAAATTGAACGTGCGTTCATCCGTTTAACGGGCCCCCGACCCCCGTTAAATCGCGTTAAGCGAAAAAACGGGGGATTCGCACGTTGGGCTTCAGACACGTGTACCTACGTGCCCGAACACTCAAACCAGAAAAAAAAAAAAAAATTTGGCC